AATAAAATTAAATTTACCGAAGGCTATTGTGAAATTTTCTGAGTCTTTGGCTCTTTTGTTAATATATTTTTTACATGTTACTGCACTTTTTGTCAATTTTATAGCCGTCAATGGCATTAAGAAAAACTTGAAGAGAATAAAAGAATGATATGTCAGCAAAATTTCTAAATGTTAGTACGTAATACACTTATATTGTCGATTTGTGAAAGTCATTCAACTTCCGCTTTCCTTCGATCTCCACCCTCTTTTGGAATAATTTCACTACATAGACCTATTTGTGCTAAAATTAAATGAAAGGAGAAGTGCTCAATGTCATGACCCAGACCGTCGTGATTGACACCCACACTAACCCTCCGGTGGGAGAACCACTACTACAACCCAAGCTAAGCAACTTACGAAAAACTAAGACATTTAAAGATACGGAAGAAACTTTAAATGACCAAAAGAAATACGGAGTTCCCATAAACTCCCAAAGGTTTAAACAAACTAGCCAAACTAATGCGAAAGGACAACCCCTAGAACCTGAAAGTCATTGTACCAAAACTCTACTAACGACAAGTCTAAGAACAAGGGGTACAACCTCGAAATTAAACAAACACCTTAAACAAATAGTCTGAGTCCGAAAAGAGTGAAATTAAACAAGAGAGATCCATGGCAGCCTGAAAGAACTGGCTCACCCTTGAATCTGTTCACGCTCAATAGTCACCTAGCTGAGGTTTATCAATAGGCGCCTGAAGATTCCCTGTACTCAACAAAGAAAGAGCAAATGTAGTATCAGTACACAACCACAGTGTACTGGTAGGATCACACGGCTATCCCAATAAGTGAAACACATGCAAGTAACCACGACATTATAAAACAAACATATACCGTACATTTACAATATTAGTCATCTTTTCAAGATCAATGTAGCATTCCACGTTCTCAATAATACACATTGGTTATCATTTTAGAGCAACAAACAGTCTTTCAATATCAATCATCATTAAATATGAACGTAATCATCACAAGTAGATACACAACACAATTCAATGGTCCTCTCAGGGAATCCAATTCAATGGTCCTCTCATGGAACCCATACCCAAACTATTAGTGTACCGGTACGTGGTACCCATTCCAAGTTAGTGTGTCGGATCGTGACACCCATTCCAATATTTATGTCTGTACGTGGCAACCGATTCTAGTTAGTGTGTTAGATCGTGACACCTGTTCCAATGTTTATGTCGGTGCGTGGTAACCGATCCAGTTAGTGTTTCAGAACGTAACACCTGATCCATTCAACAAGCCATAATCACAATCATAAGTACATTCTCACAATCATAAACTCAAGTCATGATTCATGGCATTCAATTATTCAATTATCCTCATTCACGATTAGTGTGATCAATAATGCAACATTCGCATACATACATGCATTATAATGAAGCAAGTACAAACATATATCACACAACACGAAATCATAACCATCACCTACCTCAAATCCAAGCTTGAATCCCCTAAGGCACTTGAATCTTCCCTTTCCATATTCTTTCCGCTTGTTCTAGGTCTACAAACAATTAATATACACAAGGATCAACAATTAAAAGTCTAATTATCCGGATTATAACAAACCCAATAACCCTAGACCAAACCCAAGATCTTAATACCCAATTTAGGGTTATTTCCACAATTAGTTTCAAATCAAAACCCTCCCCCATTGATAATTACCTACTAGTTTATATTCTACGGATTGATAAATAGATTCGGGGAGTTAAAACCTTACCTTTAACCTTAAGAATGGTGAAAAATGGTCAAGAACTCGCCTGGGGTCGTCTCCTAGCTCTCAAAGTCAAAAAGTGCAGAATAAAATTATTTTGGGGTTTATTTCCGACTTAAATCGTGACTGTCCCGCTATGGCGGCCCCGCCTTGGCGAAATAAATTCCGCCACAACGGCTTGCACGGGAACAAAATGTCGAATCAAGAGCTCCAAGCCCCTATGTCACAATACATCTTCATCCCATGACACTCAGAAAGTACCCATTCACGCTAAGATCAATTTCGGGAGTTCTACTCGCCCGAATTCAATTCTGTAAAGTCGTACGAGTTCCTTAACGTCTTAGATACCCACTCATGTAATCGCATTCCATATTAAACATCTCATTTGTTACTTGATTTCTCTAGACATCAATACTCCGATTTCGTCCAAATCTGGACTAGGCTAGGAAACTTCAAGTTACTACCAAAAAGTTTTCCGGCCCAAAATTTTTCCTCGTTGGCTTTTCTATAACGACATGAACAAGTCGTTACACTCAATGATTTAAGTAGACTAAGTAAGTTAAGATTTCTGTGATGTTTACTTTGTGGTTATACTTTTTCTTGATGAATTTGCAGGACTTATTTTCAAATTTATGGTGATTGTGTTTTCTATTTAAAAAAAATATTGATTAGTGTTAATCAGGTAAACGATAAAGGTAATGCTGAAATTGTGACCTCTTTATAGGAGTTGTATTGGTGATTAACTTTAAGAAATATTCAGGTGTGATTAGTTACCAAGATGGATTAGTTGAGAAGGAAGATATGCATGAGGTTCAAAGACTATTTGAGTATGTTTGTGTCTCTATTGTGTAAGTTGTTTGTTGATCCATGTGTACATGTGGTGTCAGAACTATAAGCTTTTCGTATATGTCAGTTTTATTTATTAATCATTTGCTGAAAGTACTTATGCAAATGATGTATATAAAAGCAAATTTATTATTTATCTTTATCGGTGTCATCAAATTTTTCATTGTCTCACTTGTGAGAGCTATTAAGATCTCCTTTTAATAATGGAAAGAAGACACATGCTTATTATTTTGAAAGCATTGTATTGTTTGGCTTTAGTTCTTGCTATTATTGTTCTTACCATCCCTTATTTTTAAGGATCATAATCATCAGTTGTTGGACCCGTGCTCAAGCACGGGCCATGGCCAATCTAGTATATATATGTGTGTGTGTGTGTTCTCATTCCTATTTTGGGGTATGTTTCCTTTTGTCTTTCTGATTATCCAAAATATATTTATTAATAATTATATTTTTGGGTATATTTTGTACTATGGCTTGATCCTCTTTGTGTTCATTATTTTACCTAGATAAATAATTATTTTTTTTGTTTGAATATATGTTATTAGAGATATTATGAACTATACTCAAGAATGAAAACGTTGAAAAGGTCTATAAAAATAATTGGAGTGACATTCAACAACAATTGTTCCATATTTCTCGTTTCTTGAAGTGATTTTTGTGTGTATTTTATTTTTTTCCGTTTAATTTTCACAATATGCCTAAAAAATTAAATGGGCGGATTTTTTAAGTATACAAATTAACAATTGTATTTACACCAACATAGCAATATTTTTTTTTCCAATTATATAGCAATACTTTTTTTTTCAAAAGTAGAATTTAAATTAGAAAAATAAAATTTCCAAATCAGCCATGCTTATCCCACTTCCCATAAATTTCTCCAATAATTTTACCTTCCCTAATTTATTCAAATATGCTATATATTATCTCCCATAAATAAAGGTTTCCTACCAAAAACATAACTCCTTTCTCTGACTTAAAAAATCGGCCAAACAAAAAACGATTATTGAAAAAAATGCATACCAATAATTTCTCAATTCTAATTCTAATTCAACACAACGGGCGATGGGACTCAGCAGGTAATTATATAAAAATAATTCTCATGATTTTTTATTTTGTGATTGAATTTGATTTTTCAAAAATATCTATTTTGTACTTTTTGGTAGTTATTCGTTTTATATATTTTGTCAATTTTGGTGTAAATTAATTCATACAATTTGGTTGACGTTCGGGATCGTCAAAATTAATTCATACAATTTTGGTGTAATTTCAACAATTTCGTATGATTTTGTTGTACACTGATGTGTAAAATTTGTTTTTAGTTAAACTATGTTTAATTGGTATGATGTGTTCCGTATGGTAGCAAATATTTTATATCAATAAGTTTTCAATATGTATTTCTGTATTTGTTTAGGTATTTGATCTGGTATAATTGTCACTAATAGCTGACACTAAACAAATAGCCTGATGCATGATTTGGTGTATTGTTTGGTCAAATTATAGTATCTTACTTATGAACGTATATTAAAGTGAGTGTAGTTATAAATAATTTGGTGTAATTGGTGGTGTCAACAACTACAAGTTTGACGATCTATGGTATATAATTAGAACCTCGTAATAAAGTTATGTTACATATTTTAGTGAATTTTAAGTATGTGAATTGGTGTAAATAATAATGTTCAAAATAGTTCGTACATTTACTGATGGTAACCTGATAAAATCATAAATTTTAAAAATTGTTTTAATGGTATGTAATCTTTGAATGTTTTTTTTACATTTATTATATGGTTAAAATATTGGTAAATACTTTGGTATTTGTTTGACTGTTTTTTTAAGATAATTACATGGTTAAGTTTTTGGTAAATAATTTGGTATTTGTTTGATTGTTTTTTTAAGATAATTAAATGGTTAAATTTTTGGTAAATAATTTGGTATTTCAATAAATGGCTTATATACCAACGAAAATCAATGTATGAACAAAGCTAAATAAGTTGATGGCTGTAGTAGGTAATTCTGAAAGTTCCTTTTAATATTAACAAAGAATTTGTTATTTTAAACAGGCAATTACGTGGATTACAATATTGAAGGAGTTATGTATGATCCAACCACCAAATATGAAGGCTTGCTTACAGCTATAGCTTCATAATTGGGAGTGGACACAACAATTTATCATTTGGAACTAAGGTATTTCGTGAGTGGTCCATCTCCACCAATGAAGATACATAACGATACGGGAGTGCAAGTTTATTTAGATCAAAAGAGATGCAATTCAGATTTCTTTTCAAAATATCCTTTATGTGTGACATGTGTGGACAAAGCTATGGAATCCATTGAGTACCAAACAAATGTCCAAACAACGCGTCAACATATTGTGGGATCCAACACACTATGTTTGACTAACATGGATCCAATTTTGGAATGTTACATTGAAGAATCACAAGGAACGGAAATAATTTCAAATCCTCAACACTATTTGGTGGCCGAGGATCAAGTTTATATAAACAAGCAAACTATATCGGAAGTTATGAAGCGATATGCATTTCTAAGAGAGTTTTCTTTCGTTGCAAAAAGATCAAGTCCTACCTGGTGAGTTATTATATATGTTGATTTTAAAAAATATCAATATATTTTAACAACTTACCATGTATTAATATGCATGAGTTTTTGCAGTTACTATCTAAAGTGTGCTACAGAAAACTGTTCATGGGTTTTTAAATCCTCATGTTTGAATAATTCAAAGTTATTCAAAGTGAGGAAATTCTATGATATACATTCATGTCCATTGAAGGACCGGATTCAATCAAAGCGACAATCAACAAGTGGTGTGCTTGGGGCAATGTTGGTTGAAAAGTATGTCGATCTGAAGACCGTTTACACACCAACAGACATACAAGCAGACATGCTAAGGATACATTGTATTTCATTAACATACATGCAAGCATGGAGAGGTAAAAAAAAATCTTTCGAGACATTAAGAGGTGACCCTGCCGAATCATATGGAAAAATTCCAACATATCTATATATATTGGAGAAGACATATCCAGGGACAATTGTGAATTATAAAAAAACAGATGAAAATATTTTTTTATATTCATTTACAGCACTTAATGCAAGTATAAGAGGCTGGGAGTATTGTCGACCAATAGTAGTCGTGGATGGTACACATTTAAAATCAACATACGAAGGCACAATGTTGATAGCTAGCACATTAGATCCAGGAGGTACTGTTTAGACCATTACCGCAACTAGATTGATTTGCTTTATATATAATCAATATATGTTGTATTTATTTTGTAGATATTTGTTGTATAGGTCACATCTTGCCGCTTGCATACGGAATAGTTGATTCAGAAAATGATGATTCATGGTTATGGTTCTTTGAGAATTTTAAAAATGCATTCGGTGAAAGGGAAGATATGTGCTTTGTTTCTGATAGAAAAAAGAGCATTTGGAATGCTACTGCAGCTGTTTATTCCGAATTCAGACATTACGCATGCATATACCATCTATGGACCAATTTACTAAAGAAAACATACAGAGATACAGAAGAGGTTAGACCATTATTCTTCAGTTTAGCAAAAACTTACACTGTTCAAGAGTTTGATGAATTGATGACAAGGATGGATCAAATTAATCCAAAATACCGTGCTTATCTACAAAATGCAAATTATGAGAAATGGTCACACACACATTCACCAGTAAAAAGGACTTGGACACTAACAAGTAACATTGCAGAGTCACTAAATAACGCTATTCTTGTTGGAAGAAGGTTACCAGTGGTACCATTGTTGGAATTTGTTAGAAAAACAATTGAAGCTTGGAATGAGAAACACAACGAAAAAGGTAGAAATACTACAACAACCTTGACAAGTAAATATAATGAAATGTTAGAGGACAATAGAAATTTGTCTCATCGTATGCTTGTAAGTATTAACAATTCTCTACTATGCATATTATGTTTTGGTTTTATTATTGATAATGAATGCTCTTAAATGAAGGTACGCGCATCAACAATACACCTTCATACCATTACAGATGGTGCAAAGAGGTTTACAGTATGTCTGAATACATGAATGTGTAGTTGTGGCAGATTTCAACATGATGAGATCCCTTGTAGTCATGCACTTGCAGCAATTAGACATAGGAATAAACATCGCGATGATTATTGTTCAGCTTATTATAGTAATAAGAATTATCAAGATACATATGCAATACCAATTGAACCCTTGCCTTGCGAAAGCACTTGGGATGTTCCATCACATGTCTTGGAAGAGGTAGTATTACCACCAATTACAAGAAAGCAACCTGGCAGACCTCCAAAAAATGATCGCAAAAAGGGATTTACCGAAGGAGAGAGGAAGAAGAGGAAAGTAACCTGTAGTGAATGTGGTATAGTTGGGCATAACAAGAAGACTTGCCCAAAAAAAACTCATGATAATTAGCTTTGTGATATTTTTGTTGTTATTTTTACTTTGCAGTTATACGGTTGAACTATATTACTTTTATTAGATGTACTGTTTCTTAATTGCATTACCTTATTTCAAAGTTGATTACTTTTTATCTTATTCATATTTTTGAATACATAGTTGTTATAAATGGTTGTATGTAGTAGATATCATAAACTCTTTTGGATTACGTGTTGTCACATATCCAGAAATATTGATAAACAATATGAGCCAAATTCTTGGTAAAATTATGGTAAATAAGAACAAATATATGGTAAAAATAAAGGATCATAATAATTGTGTATTTAGTAAAACAAATGTTTGCAGTTTACCAACCTAAAACAATAAATTGAAAAGTAATAAATGTTAGTATATTAGTTTGGACGCTACAGTAATTAACACTCACTTACTGTAAAATTGGTTTACTCTTGTTACAACTGGTACATAGCTTGGTATAAATGATGGTATATATTAAAACCAAATGTCATAATGATGATGGTATATATTAAAACCAAATGTCATAATGATGATGGTATATTATCTTACATATGAACATACATAAATTACAATGAGTGCATTAATAAATTATTTGGTGTAATTGGTGGTGTAAAAAACTACAAGTTTGACGATCTATGGTATATCATTAGAACCTCGCAAAATAAAAATATCGTACATATTTTAGTGTATTTTAAGTATGTGAATTGGTGTAAATAATAATATGAAAAATATTTTCAACATTTATTGATGATAACCTGATAAAATCATAAATTTTAAGAATTGGTTTAAGGGTATGTAATCTTTGACTGTTTTATTTTAAGTTTATTAAATGGTTAACAAATAAATAAAATACTTTGGTATTTCTTTGACTGTTTTTTTTAAAATCATTAAATGGTTAAATTTTTGGTAAACACTGAAACCAAAAAAAAAAACACACTATGCTAAAGAAAAAAATTGGTTTACATATGAAAGAAAAAAAGTACCAAACTGGGTAAACACATTGGTATGTATACCAACCTGCAACTTTGAAAGAAATCCAAGCGATCATATAAAAGCATTTAATATAATTTTTTAATAATGATAAAACCCAATTTATACCTAAATTTATACCAAACTCATACATGTACAAACCAAACTCACACTATAAATTTATCACAATATTTAATAAAAAAAAACAACCAAATAAATGCATAATCATAGAATAAAGACAATATCCAACGAACTAAATACCATAAACGCAACTAAAGTACTATCCAAAATTACAAAAAAAATTCAAAAGCATAAAACATTCATGAAATTCTGTCTTAAGAAATGACACTTTTTACTCCTTGACCCTCCGATTTGACCGACCACCTTGGTTAGAAGCTTCATCTTCACTAACAGATTCAGTATCAATTTTCATCTTTCCATATTCTCACAGTAATGCTCCAAATCTCAACCAAAGATTTTCAGCATTTAAACCCGACATAGATACGTTCCTATCTCCACGACACACATATTCAGCAAAAGCACAGGTATACAAACCACAATCCCTATAAATATTACCCAATCAGCATAATTAGTACAATACATAGTATAATCAACAACAAAAAAGCCACATTATACTTACGTTGAATTGTCGCATTGTTGTGGGATGTTTTCACGATTACCATATACCAACGGATCACCAACTGGCCTTCCAGCATAATGCACATCTGTATTCCAGTCAATGTCTTTCCTTATAGCATAATAATCAGTAGCAACTAGGAACAAAAGTATCATTCTAGATATTTTTTGAACCAAACTTGTTACTGCATTGGTATGTTTAACCCCATAACAATTTAAAGAATCATAAATATATAAACACCTTTTTCTGATGGAAAAAACAACCAGAAACCAGTGGAATGCATACATGATCAACATCCACCCATGGAGTATTAGCAAGAATCCTATCACCTCTTATATATTGTGCAACCTCATGATGTATACTAATCAGACTTTCATCTTTGCCATTGGCCTCCCACGCATCATGAATTTGAACAACCCAACTGATAAAAAAAAGGGTCAGTAGTAGTAACTCTTGCACTATTATCAGGACCATACTTGCAAAACTTGCAAAGATAATACATTATCACATCAACATGCTGCATATCAAGTTTTATTAGTTAGCACCAAACAATAAAATAATATCACAACTTGATTGAAAGAATTACCATTATCTTATTATTACCTATTAGACTATATTTAAAATTATATGTTTGTGTCATTGTAACAATTAAACTATAATTAAGAGTCTATGTTTGTGTCAATAGTTGATTTTCCTAACATACATACCAAAAACAACTGTCCCCATAGAACTAAATCACAGATTTCAGTGACTACAATGAAGCCAATTTTACTTACCAATCACTAAAAATCACAACAAAAAACAAATACCAAATCTTACTTTAATATAGAGTTACACCATAAAAAATTACCAAATCACTCCAAGGCTGCCCTGGATAAGCCAAAGGGTGAAACCAATCCATCAAATCCACCCTACCAACACCAAACTCAAAAGGAGGATCGATTGGATTTGAAGCAGCAGTGAAGAAACTGGTTTTCCTATAAAATAAAATGAGTAGTTATAGCATATAAAGTGAATGAACAAATGGTAAAATACAATTACACAACAATACATACTTTCCACGTTTCTTGGATAATTTGCTATCAACCCATTTCTTAAATTGAAGGATAACTTCACTGTACATATCAAACCCCTTGTAATTTACAAAAGGATGCCTCCATAAACAGTACTTCACTGTGTTCACAGATATGCCACCTGATTCACTTAAGTTTGTGTATGGTGATTGGGCATACTTTCCTGGAATCTTCGTACGAACATGCTGAACTGGTGAGATAAATGTGTTTTCACCCTCAATAACACCAAACTGATTGAACTTTGTTTTTCCAGCTTTAGCAACTTCCAAAGGTGTGACACAAATATTTTCAGATTCAACATCTACCAATGATGACACGTATGTTTGTCTAGTTTCAAGAGCAACCAACTGTGATTCACGCATATTGGGCATAACAAAGTCATCCAATGTAGGAGTTTTTCTATTTATTTCAAAATCAACAGATACACCACCTATTAAGATATACAAACATCATTTATGTATCTATATTTTATGAATTTTAAACACAAATCAAAAATGAACTAAAAATAGTTTAAGCTAACAAAAAAGAACTTACAATTGCTATCAATAACATGATTACGAAACGAAGATGGTGTCTGGACACCATCTTTATCTCCACAATCTTGCAAATGTTCATTTTGAACATCAACATTTCCTTTTCTTTGATCCTCAACAACAACCTTAATGTTCTCAATAAAATAAAATTTTGAGTCATTCAACTATTACAATAAGACAACAATATAGCTAATTACGGATATATAATCAACAAGAAGATTAATAATATTTAAAATCAACACAAAGTATCCACATTAACATTTATAATAATCTTGATCTAAAAATTAGTTTATAAGTAAATAATAAGTCCATATATTAATAAGTAAACTAACCCGTTCACCACCTAAATCTTTGTTGGTTGAAACATCATTATGAAGAGATTTCAACTCTTGAATGATATATTTGAATGATGAATCCATAAAAGCCTTCATTTCAACAAACTTAGCATCTACATTTTTTTCAAACTTTTCCAACTCATTACGAACCTAACAAAAATTAAAATGACATTAATGTTTCTTCAACCAAAATTCTGACAGAAAGTAAATAAAATTTATAATCATACGTTCACAACTTCTTGGGCAATTTTCTGCAAATCTTTATTAAATGACAAACTCAGAACACTTCCAACCTTTAACTATGAGGCAAATCTTTAACATTCTGTCGAACAACAGAATGAGTCTGTAAATTTTGATTTTGCCTTACATATCTATCACGTTTACTCTTCTTATTGAATGGCATATCATTCAAAACAGTAAGATTTTCCGACTCAATGATATGAAGCTCCTCATCCATGAACACAAGATCTTCAAATGTATACTAACACAATAATAATAAATTGTGAATATACACTACTCATAAAAAATAAAATTAATAAATAATAACAAAAGAACTTCTATTACCTGATTGCCGTATTTTCTGAACATTCCTTTCTGGAGATGGTCAAAATATATCTTGTTTTTGGATATATCCCAATTGAATATTCTAGGCGTTCGATTGGATTTACGAATTGCAATTGAACCATCAACTTTGTTACAACATTCATAAAACCAAATTTGCAATGCGAGAGGAAACCCTTCAAACTTCACATAATCTGGATCTTTTGCCATTTGACTCGATATAGAATGACGAAGATTAAAAAAGGAGAGATTGCCCCAGGGGTACGTAATGTACTGTCCCGACTCAACACATAAGAAGTGATCTTTTGGAATATGTGACAACTGTGGTGGAGATGACAAAATGAATGTACTAATGAAATAAATCATAGACATATTAAAAAAGTCTTCTTCCTGAATCAACCCATCTTCTTTAAACACTCTTATGAAATCAGCTTTCAAAACCTTATCAATAGCATTTGAAAAGTAACAAGAAAGTAACTTAGATGTACTATTCTGATCATGATCAAAAACCATACACCCACCACACTTAAAACCAGTAATTACCAAAAATTCTCTAAGCCCAAAATGCATTTCTTTACCATTTATGTCAAACACAAACATGTCATCCCGACTGTTAGCTAAATGATGAACAAGACATCTAATAATCTGAGGTTGGACTTTCAATTGGGACAAGCCTAATAAATAACCAAAAGGAGACTCTTTAAACAAATGAACACTACCAATTTTTTCAAGTAGCTTTGTTATATCATCAAAAACGTTGACATTTAGATAAGAACACCAACGCGATTGTTTCTTCTTGATTTAAAAAAAATATATTAAAAATCAATAAATTATAATAGTCATAAAATGCAAAATTTATAATATAAGCAAAGAAATATTTGCATCAAAAATTACATTACTATAAAACGACGGTAAAAACATACCTTTAGTGGTACTTGTG